ACGCCATGTAAAAGCAAGTAATCTGCTAAGCCCTGCTATGAAGTAACGACCAGTAGTGTGAAGGCAAAAAGCTAAGCAGAAGATAAGATGCATGGGATTCCAGCAAAAGACATGCTAGATCCGTTAGCATTTTTCATCAGACAGAGGGACAAGCCTCGAGAGACAGCTCAGATTAGAAGGGCTTTGCAGTTATTGCCTCAAAGCTCAGAGGCACGGGGCCAGGAATTCTTAAACTCAAATTATCAGACCCATCACATAAAAGCCATAGGCAGAACTACCCAGAAAAGCCACTACTGGATTCTTGACTATCAAAACCTCTATGATAATCTGAAAAACACTTAAAGAAATTAGGTCCAGACAAGAACTTGCACAGTCAAAGGAACCCCATCTGTGACTGAGAAGAGCTTGCATCCATCCCTGAATTAACACTGAGACACTAGACTTCACACCCAGAGGAAGAAAGAAAGGGCCTCCTCCAAAATCTGCCCACATGGGACAGCAGATGAAGGACATGGTTTCATTGGGCAGAACCAAAAGCAATGGATGGAGCAGCCACAAGTTTCCCTCCTGCCAGGGAAGGGGCTTCCTGGTATTTATGACCAATAATGAACCTGTGGCCACTGGACATTGATGCTCTGCCTGTCCCTTTTCTAAGGAGACAATTCATGGTCGTTACCTTGGCCTTTGTCTCCATTACCTACCAGGGGCTTTTGGGAGGACATGATTCAACCTTTAGCCACCCACTGCCAGGCCATAAGGAGCCCCAGCTGGACCCGACTGATATCACAGCACATTACCTATGGCCCTGGAGTGGGAGTTGGAAGTGGAAACTGGTTGAGACTTCAGGTTATATCCCTCTTGGGAAAGGGTTAGTTCATTTCATGAATGTGTAAGAATTTTCATTTTTCGAAACAGAGTTTCTGTTGCCCAGGCTAGAGTGCAGTGGCGCGATCACAGCACACTGTAGCCTCAACCTCCCAGGTTCAATCACTTCTCCACCTCAGCCTCCTGTGTAGCTGGGACTACGGGAGCACACCCCCATACCTAGCTGATTTTTTAGTGTTTATAGAAATGGGAATCTCATTATGCTGCCCAGGCTGATCTCACACTCCTGGCCTCAAGTGGTCCTCCTGCCTTCACTTCCCAAAGTGCTGGGATTATAGGCATGAGCCACCACACCCAGCCCCTCATGTTTATATAATTTGGTCTCACTCCTGATTCCTGCCGAGTATTGGGGCAAGGATGAGTGACTGTGTTACCCAAGACAGACCCATCGGAATCTAGTCCTGGAAACTTGAAACTGAGACTGATATCATCCAGATCAAGGCAGGGACTAAGTTCATCACATTGTACATAATGCCTAGCACAATGCTTGTACCATTACGGCTACGCAAATATTTAGTGAACAAATGAATGAATGAATGAGAGGCTGACTTTCTGAATGGCAGAAATATGAAACTGAGTGTTCTGGGATGATCACCATCCACCAGCCACATGGACAAAACAAAAATTCAAACTAGAAACACAAAGAATGCAGACAGCAGCCTCTGGGGATTTTAGTTTGAAAACCCTCTGTGGCAGTAAGGAAATGAGTGTTCTCAAAATACAAAGATAGCTTTTACCACCTTTGCCCTTCCTTAGATAAAAACTAAAGGGTTCTCTCTCTCTCTCTTCCCCCCCCCCCCCCACCCTCTGGCTGAATTTTCCAGTTTTCAGCAGTCTGTGGTATAAAATCATCTGATTCCATCATGACCTCATACTTTAAAGCAGAGGTCTTTTTTAAACACAAGTGAAATGAAAAAACATGATCTATTAACAATGAACAGGAAGGTTAAAAAAAAAAAAGAACAGGATCGGTCATTTGGGGGGATCCCTGAGAAGTGAAAATATGGGGCTGCTTGTTCAAATATGAAGAACTTTAAAGCTGGGTGCAGCGGTTCCCACCTGCAATTTCAACGCTTTGGGGAGCAAAAGTGGGAGGATCACATGAGCCCAGGAGTTCAAAACCCGCATAGGCAACAGTGAGAGAACCCCTTCTATAAATGAATGAATGGATGGATGAATGAATACATAGATTTTAGGAGCATTCTCCTCCATGACTAAGAAACATTTATTTCTTGTAAGATTGTTCTACTTTATGCCGGACACAGTGAGAGGTCACACCTGCAGACCCAGCACTTTGGGAGGCTGCAGCAGGATTGCTTGAGGCCAGGACTTCCAGACCAGCGTTGGCAACATAGCAAGACTGTGTCTCTACAAGAAATATATAGATATGAACTCATTTAAAGTGGCACTAGCAGATCATTCTCCCAAGCATGGGGACCTTGGATGCATGGAATTGCGTGTGGCTACAGTCCGCAGGACGGCAAAGCCAGCCCCATTAAAGAAGCAGAGATCGAAGATGGCCGACCACTAACAGCTCGGGATTGTAGCTCCCAGTGAAAGCTCAGACAACGAGACAATGCCACATCTTTAGACGAATTTTCGTCACTCACCGATCAGCCAATTTCCAGTGGAGGAGCCCCACGGGTCGCCAGCACGACTCTTGTGGCCGCCGCAGCGGTTTTGCCGGCGTCTCGGTGCAGCAGCTCTTCATGCAGAGCCAACGGGACTGCTTGCCCTACTGACCGGAGTTTGGAGCTCCGGGAAGTCAGAGCCGCTTGTTGCGGACTCAAGAGGGAAGCCAGACCAGAGATTCCCGGGCAGAAGAGCACCATCAGTCTTATCGCTGCTATTTAGGCTGCCACAGTGTGTTGCTCAGATCCCAGCACTGGGAATCAATAAGTCGGATGTCGACTCAGAAACCTAATTAGAAAGGCGGTTCATCTACAATGAAGGGAAAAAAACAGCCTAAGAAGGCCGGGTATACTCAAAGTCAGAACCCATCAGCAACGGAACAAGCTCTGATGGAAAAGGACTCATCAGCAACCGAACAAGCCCTGATGGAAAAGGACTGTGTTCCATTATCTGAAGTAGGCTTTAAAAGGTGGATGATAAGAAACTTCTGGGAGTTAAAGGAACTTGTTCTAACCCTATGTAAAGAAACTAAGAACTTGGAAAAAAGGTTAGATGAAATGTTGAAAAGAATAGACAATATAGAGAGGAATACAAATGAACTTACGGAGTTGGAAAATACAACACGAGAACTTAGTGAAATACGTACAAGCTTAAACAGCCGAATGGATCAAGCAGAAGAAAGGGTATCAGAGGTCGAAGACCAACTTAATGAAACAAAACGACAATACAAGAATAGAGAAAAAAGGATAAAAAGGAATGAGCAAAGTCTACAAGCAATATGGGACTATGTGAAAAGACCTAATATACGCTTGATTGGTGTACCTGAATGTGACGGAGAGAATGAATTCAAGCTGGAAAATACTCTCCAGGACATTATCCAGGAAAATTTTCCTAATTTAGCAAAGCAGGACACTATTCAACCCCAGGCAATACAGAGAACACCACAAAGATATTCCTCAAGAAGACCAACCCCAAGGCACATAATCGTTAGATTCACCAAGATCGAACGAAGGAGAAAATATTAAGGGCAGCCAGAGAGAAAGATCAAGTTACCCATAAAGGTAAGCCTATTAGGCTTACAGCAGATCTCTCAACGGAAACCCTACAAGCTAGAAGAGAGTGGGGGCCAATATTCAATATACTTAATCAACAGAACTTTCAGCCCAGAATTTCATATCCTGCCAATTTAAGCTTTACATTTGAAGGAAAAATAAAATCTTTTAGGAACAAGCAAGTACTCAGAGATTTTATTACCACCAGGCCTGCTTTACAAGAACTTCTAAAAGAAGCATTATACACAGAAAGGAACAACCAGTATGACCCTTTCTAAAAATACACCAAAAAGTAAAGAGCATTAACATAAAGAAGAATTTTCATCAACGAAAGGACAAAATAGCCAGTTAATATCAAATGGCAGTAACCCTAAATTTAAATCAACCAAATCTCCCAATCAAAAGATACAGACAAAATCTAATGGTATATCCAAAGATATACACAGACTCAAAATAAAGGGTTGGAAAAAAAAAACGTACCAACCAAATGGAGAGCAAAAATTAATAAATAAAAAGCAGGAGTTGCAATTTTCACATTTGACAAAACAGATTTCAAAGCTACAAGGATACAAGGATAAAAGGATTAATGTAATAATAAGAGATCTTAACACCCAGATACATAAGACCCATAATGAGATTTAGATTCAACGAGACAGAAAATTGATAACGATATCCGGGACTGGAACTAAGATCCAGAACAAATAAACTCAATAGAGCTCTCCATTTTAAACACACAAAATATACATTATCCACAAAATCTAACGATATATCTAAAGATATACAAAGACTCAAAATAAGGGGATGGAAAAAAACTCACCAACCAAATGGAGAGCAAAAATAAATAAATAAAAAGCAGGAGTTGCAATTCTCATACTTAATAAAATGGATTTCAAAGCTACAGGGATACAAGGGTGAAAGGATTGATGTAACAATAAGAGATCTTAACACCCAGATACATAAGACCCATAATGAGATTTAGATTCAACAAGACAAAAAATTGATAACGATATCCAGGACTTGAACTCAGAGCCAGAACAAATAAACACAATAGAGGTCTCCATTTTAAACACATAAAATATGCATTAACCACTTTAAACACTTAAAATATTGATCGGCCATTATTGAAACCCATTTTAGGAATGAAGTAATATTCCTTTTTCCCTCTTTTTCTTTTTTTCCCCTTCTTTTTCTCTTTTTCCCTCAAAAAGAAAAAAAAAAAAAAGAGTGGAAAAGCAGAAGTGACAGGTCCCAAAAAAAAAAAAAAGAAGCAGAGATCGTCCAGTGACAAATTGTCCATTTATCAATTGCTTGCTGTAAAAACCGTCCATTGTGATCTTGATGAGAAATCGACTGACCCCCTGCCATCCAAAATGACAGCTCTCTCCCCTAGATGTCATCATCGTTGGAACATTCGAGTCTTGCTCTAGGCAATCTGGTTTTAAACTTTATTTTCCATGTACAGTTTCAGATTATACAAAACATAGAAAATGGACTATTTTAAAGGTACATTAAGTAGAAAGTTTCTAACTACCCTAAAATCACATTTCTCCCCAAACCAAAATTCAAAGTCAACCTATAGGCCTTGCGCTAGCATTTCCCCAACACCATGAAATTGTCCAACTGGCTCCATCATCAGTAACCTTTAAACTATTAGTGAGTTTAGTAATACCCCCCAAGACAGATTTTAAACTACGATACAGCTTCTATCCAGGCCACTGTGTTTAGTGTGTTTACAAACAGGCTTGAAGTTCTAGGTTTCTTCATCATCAACGAACAGAGTGTTCTAGAACTTCAGCCTGTTCATGAGGGGTGTGCACAAAAGCACGAAAACTATAGCACAGTGTGTGGGAGTGAGGAGGTCTCTGACGTCCCTGTATTCAGGTGTATGCACACACATTCACACAGACCAACAAGTCAAGCATTCTCCAAACTCATTGGAACAGAGACCCAAAATAATTTTAATGCAAATAACAAAATGAGTTAGTCTGTCTCCATCACATAGCCTCTCGATGAAAGAATTACAGTACTTTATAAAATGTCATAAAATGCGCAAACTACAGTTCCTTCAAATGCGGCTGATGCTCTTTGGTCCTAATATTTGCTTCCTGGATGTCGACTAATCTTGTTGTTATTGCTCTTGAACAGCTGGTAGTAAGCACCAAGTGGGGGCTGATTCTACCTACAGGGAAGAAGGTTGGATGTTTTCTCCCTGATGTCCCGGTTTCTTTCCCACTTCCCAAATGCATGTCATACAGCAGGGAAGAGGCATCACTCATGCCTCAGAAAACCTTCACGGCACAGATGGATGTGGGCACTGAATGTTGTACAGTAGTGGCAGCCAGCCGGGAAAATCCACAGGATCATTTCAGACTGCATGCAACAAGATACTCACGTAGCCCTGACGTTTTGGTTTTTTTTGTTTGTTTTGAGACAGCAGTCTCACTCTACCGCCCAGGCTGGAGTGCAGTGGTGCGATCTCGGCTCACTGCAACCTCCACCTCCAGGGTTCAAGCGATTCTCTGCTTCAGCCTACCTAGTAGCTGGGATTACAGGTGCTGCCACCAAGCCCAGCTAATTTTTGTATTTTTAGTAGGGACGGGCTTTCACCATCTTGGCCAGGCTGGTCTTGAACTCCTGACATTGTGATCTACCCGCCTCAGCCTCCCAAAGTGCTGGTATTACAGGCGTGAGCCACCACACCTGGCCAGCCCTGACGTTTTTTGTGAAGGGAATTCATGTATTGCTTGGGAGTTGATCTCTGGTTCTAAGGTACTTTGTTCGTTTCCATTGTGACTGTCAGAAAATTATAGAAAAGTCACCAAGGTAGAAAGTTTCGAGGGAACTTAACATTCAACTTCCTCCATGAGCTTGGTTAGCGGCATCCTGTTAGCCCCAGGGGTGTAAACATGTTCTTGAACACAACATGCCCAGTGATGGTTTCTCATGGAGGCAGGAGGTGACATTTGTCCTGTCTCTGGCCCCAGGCTACCCTGTACTGATTGGTGGCTTCTCCATGGGGGAGGGGGGTCCTATCTCATAGACTGCAAGCTTCATGAGGGCAGGGAGGATATCTGGATTTGCTCACCCTGTATTTTCAGAGCCTCACACAGTGCCTGGAACATGGTAAACATTTAACACTATTTGTCAAAAACAAATGAACGAAAGAGCAGAAGGAAAGACCCAATCCTGCATTGACAAGATATCCATGGTGGCCCTAAAACTACTCAAACCAGATGTCTCTGAAGCTCCACTGAAAGCGAGCTGATGGCAAACGATCACTCCACTAAGCAGAAGGTCAAGTGCAAAAGGATTTAAATAGCACAAAGTCTCACACTCCTCCCAGGACAGCCTCCACATGCTGCTCCAACTAAGAGGTAACAGACAATGACGTCCAAAGAGCTTCTATCCTGGGATGGTTTCTGGGAGGACTGCATGGATTGCCACACGCACATCATGCTTTGACCCTGCAGGACAGATCCCTGAAAGCTCTATTTCTCAGCGCAGTCTTATAATCACCTGGGAACCACCCAGACCCGCTAATCAGCCTGTCCCAAGTGGCACGGGAGCCCCTAAAGCCTGAGAACCCCGGCTCTATAGGACCTTCTCACCACATTTGCTGTCGGGACCATGGGCCCCTCCATGGACGTGTTCTCTGGGTGTTACACAGATGAGTACTGCCCAATAAATGTCATATGCACAAACTGAATGGAACTATATTTAGACTGATCTAAATGCCTAGATGCTTCCAGGAGCATTTAAAAATAGGCACGCATAAAGCAGTGCCCCTCCCATGCCACAGGCCTCGATTTTGAATTCTTTATGGTATTCTCAGCAGCCTCCATTATGGTGTATAGTTTTTCTCTTTGAGATGGGGTCTCGTTCTATCACCCAGGCTGGAGTGCAGTGGCATGATCACGGCTCACTGCAACCTCCACCTCCTGGGTACAAGTAATTCTCCTCCTGCCTCAGCCCCCTGAGTAGCTGGGATTACACACACGTGCCACCATGCCTAGCTCATTTTTGTATTTTTAGTAGAGACAGAGTTTCACCATTTTGACCAGGCTGGTCTCGAACTCCTGACCTCAGGTGATCCACTCGCCTTGGCCTCCCAAAGAATGGGATTCAAGTGTGAGCCACCGCGCCCAGCCAGTTTTTCTAATTAATTTTTAATCTGTCTCCTCTACTAGGCCATGAGCCCTAGCAGGAGACTGTCTTGAGAGGGTATCCCCTGTGCCTGGCACATGCACACAAGTCATGTTTTATGTTGATTAATGAATGAATGGTGGGCAGGTTCTCTGAGGCTCTAGGAATAGAGGTGAGAGGCCAGCCAGGTATAGCATGAGGTGATGGATAAGAAGGGACAGGCTTTCTGGGATAGGATGGGAAGGATGCTGTACCCCACTCCTTGAAGTTCTATGAGTTCACATGGCCCAGGAATGGAGTTTGGGGGCCCTGGAAATAGATAGCTGTGGTGATGGAGGCCAAGGTTTTGGTTTGCTGTAGGGGGGACACCCACCTCCCCATCTCCACATGATGACATCCTAGTATTTATGAGGCAGCTCTGCTCACCTGGCCCAGGGACTATGGTCCCCAACTTCAATGTATATGAAGCGTTGCCCAGGGAGCGTATTAGAAATGCAGATTCCCTGGCCCCATCCCTTGAAGACTGATTCTGTAGGTCTGGGGTGGGCGGGGGGGTTCACTGTAGGTTTTGCCTAAGGGTGAGTCTAAATCTGGCACGCAGGTAAAGGGTCACCATTCCTAAGGCAAGCAGATGACACTTGGCAAATTTAGGTGAGACTTCTTCTGACCCACCCCTATACCGGAGGGTTGGTTGGGCTCTGATGTGGATACAGACAGAAGACCAGCGGCTACACCTGCTTCTCACGTGGCACTTGGGCTACACCTCTCAGGAAGCTGTCATTCCTCTCCTGCACTCCACCCCACCCCCTTCCCCCCACCAGTAGCAGAGAGACTCCAGAGGGGCTTGGGCCAGCTGAGACCTATAGGAATCACATTCCCGGCCCCTCATCTCATCACAGCCCCATGGTTAAGAAATGTCCTGCCCAGCACTTTTGGATTTGAGCATTGCTGGGTTTTTGCTTGTGTCTTGTTGAGACTTTTGAGTGGGCAGCAGTTCTGAATACCAGCCTTCACAGTCTATTCTCTGATCTCAAGAATGCAAAAACTCTTCTCTGTTTTGGATTTTTTTCTCTTTTTCTTTTCTTTTCTTTTTTTTTTTTTTTTTTTTTTGGCTTTTAAAGGAAACATTACGTTTGCTAGAAAAACCTCACAAAAAAATAATGATTATATACAAAATGGTTATCTGAATGTGGATTCTGCACTGCAGCAAAAGCAACCCAGCTCCGGAACTCTATTTGCGCTTCCTCAGTATCAGGTACATCAGGCCGCTGATGAAGGTGCAGGCGAAGGCCACCCACGCCAGGATGTAGGAGTAGCCGTAGCTGCCTCCTTCGGTCAGGTTATAGAATTCCGTGTTTTTCTTGTGAATGTCTTCACGCCTGTCCGTATAAATGGAGGCCGCAATCATGACACACAGACCTGTCAGGAAGAAAGGTGCATTTTGAATAAGTCATAGACCGAGTGTACCCTGGCACCCAGGGACGTACAGCCAGAGTTGAAGACGAACTTCTGCTTTTATTCTTTATGTTGTTTGTTTGTTTTTGAGACAAGAGTCTCACTCTGTTGCCAGGACTAGAGTGCAATAGCGTTATCTCGGCTCCCTGCAACCTCTACCTCCCGGGTTCAAGCGATTCTCCTGCCTCAGCCTCCCGAGTAGCTGGGATTACAGGCGCCTGTCACTATGCCCAGCTAATTTCTTTTGTATTTTTTTTAGTAGAGACGGGGTTTCACCATGTTGCCCAGGCTGGTCTCAAACGCCTAACCTCATGATTTGCCCGCCTGCGCCTTTCTAAGTACTGGGATTACAGGTGAGACACCATGCCTGGCCTATTCTTTATGTTTTATTATTTTTTTGTAGAGACAGGATTTTGCCATATTACCCAGCCTGGTCTTGAACTCCTGAGCTCAAGCAATCCTCCTGCCTTGGCCTCCCAAAGTTCTGGGATTACAGACCTGAGCCACTGTGTGCAGCCTTAAGCTCTTATTAATAGGTATTTATTTTAGTCTCTTGGAAAAATTACAACTGATATTTTGTGGCAGAATATTGCCACCTACCCCGTAGCTATTGTGCTTCCCATTCTTGCTAACTCAACCCAGTTTTGTTTGGGCAGCCGCGTCACCAACCTGGAGGGTGAACGTAACTGGTCTAAGCAGAGGTCTACAGACGTGTCCTGCAAAGGACCAGATGGTAAGCAGTTTAGGTTTTCTGCGGGCCACAGTAAAACTACTCACGTCTGCCGCAAAAGAGTCACAACAGCCATAGACAATACAAAATAAGTGGTCGTAACGGTGTTATAATAAAACTTTATTTACAAAAACACGTGGCAGGCCAGTTTTGGCCTATAAGCCATAGTTTGCCAACTTTCTTCTTGGCAATCTGGTTCCTGTTTACTTGTTACAGATGGGTCACTATGTGTCCCAGTTCTGACCACAGAAAATCTTGAGTGAAAAATATAACTTCCTGGGCGGAGCATGGTGACTCACACCTGTAATTCAGCACTTTTTGAGGCCAAGGCCAGTGGATCACCTGAGGTCAGGAGTTTGAGACCAGGCTGGCCAACATGGTGAAATCCTGTCTCTACTAAAGATACAAAAAATTAGCTGGGCATGGTGGTGGGTGCCTGTAATCCCAGCTACTCAGGAGGCTGAAGCAGGAGAATCATTTGAACCCAGGAGGCAGAGGTTGCAGTGAGCCAAGTTCATGCCATCAAACCCCAGCCTGGGCAACAAGAGCAAACACTTTGTCTCAAAAAAAAAAAAAAAGACTGCCTGAAAAGAGAGAGATGAGGGAAGATAAAGCTTTTTTAAGTTGCTTTATTTTCTCTTGCTGACTGCTTTAGATATTGTCGGATTAGGATGAAATGTCTGGAGTTGCAGCAGCACTTTTGGAGCCATGAAGAGGTCAACACCAACACTAAAGATGACAGAACAGAAGGATGGAATGAGTGGAAGTGCTTAACGTTGATGCTGCTAAATCAGCTCTAGAACCTTCCACCTCCAGAGTACTTGTCATGTAAAAACAGTAACTATCTTTGCGGCTGAAGTCACAGTTAATTGGATTTTCTCTTGGATGCAGCCAAAAGCAACCTAATTGTAATACTTGTGGTTCTTGGTCAGATGCAGTGGCTCATGCCTGTAATCCCAGCACTTTGGGAGGTTGAGGTGGGCAGATCACTTGATGCCAGAAGTTCAAGACCAGCCTGGCCAACATAGCAAAACCCCGTCTCTACTAAAAATACAAAAATTAGCTGGGTGTGATGGTGCACACCTGTAGTCCCAGCTACTTGGGAGGCTGAGGCACGAGAATCACTTGAACCTGGATGGCGGAGGTTGCAGTGAGCCAAGGTCACACCATTGCATTCTAGCTTGGGCAAGAGAGCAAGACCCTGTCTCAAAAAATAAAAAAAAAAAAAGAAATATTTGCAGTCCCAATATTTAGAGACATGAGTGCTAAGATGAGGTTAAGTGCTGTGGTTCTCCTTGTGAGACCTGCCCTTTCCTGGTTGAGCAGTTTTGGTGAGACTGTCCTTCAAGATGCCCAGATATTCTCTGGCCAGGGACCGAGTGAGTAGACAGTCTCCGTCAATCAGACTCTCACTCCTGGAAACTTGAATATAAAGTCACCCTTTCAGGGTTCCTTGATTCTGAATCTCCCTAAAGCCACTGCCTGTCAGTTGCTGGTGCCTGAGTCTTCTTCCCAAGACCTGGTTTTTTTCACCTTTTCCTTTGATTATTGCAAGCTACCCCCGGAATTCCATCTCTCACATGCGTTCCAGTATCTGCTGCTTGTGTCTAAAACTCCCTGCCCGATACGGCATCTAAACACTCTGCAGTTTGAAGCAGAACTGGGAAGCCCAGGTCTTTGGACCAGAAAATGGGCAAAGACGCTGGGGAGAAGGGGATGCTATGGAAGCAAAATGAGGAGATGTGACTTTCACGTTAAAATGCAGGGGGAATTTTCTTCCTAAATATATATATATATATATTAGGGTAATCAGTTTGAGCTACGTGGCCTTACAGATAAACAGACAATAACAGAAAATAAACTTCAGAAGCTGGGTGCAGCGGCTCATGCCTGCAATCCCAGCACTTTGGGAGGCTGACCTTGGTGGATTTCGAGAGCAGCCTAGGCAACATGGTGAAACCCCATCTCTACAAAAAACACATGTAGTACCAGCTACTCAGGAGGCTGAGGTGGGAGCATTGCTTGAACCGTGGATGCTGAGGCTGCAGTGAGCTGTGATCTCACCACTGTCCTTCAGCCTGGGCAAGAGAGAGATCCCGTCAAAAGAAAAGAAAAGAAAAGAGGGAGAGAGAAAGTAAAAAAGAAAAAAGAAAAGACTTCAGTTAGTAACTGCCTAAGCCCCCTTGCTCCCCACAACTTAAATGACAGGATTCAATTGCCTCTAATGGGGTCGGTGAGGGTGGAGGGAGCCTCTAACTGGCAGGTACAGAGACAGTAAAGGAGGGGATCAGACACCTCCTCGCTACCTCACCCGGTGTCCTCGGGAAGGTCACATTCTCCCTTAGGCCTCATTTGGCCTGGGTTATTGTTCTCCAACGCTTGGCTGAGGGACAAGAGTACAAATCCCCAGGCTCTAACCCTGCAGACTGATTCAAGAAGGCAGGCTGGGGCCTTGGGAGTCTGCACTTTAGAAAAGCCCCCAGAAGGGCTGTGGCGGACTTGGCGGAGTGAGAGGAGAGGGGGGTCTCAAGATCAAGTAACCCTCGGGAGTCTTTTGCACTTGAAAACACTTTCATTCTCTGCCTGTACCTAGAAGGGGTGGTATCCGGATGTCCAGTTAAGATGTCCCAAGGGGAGAGAACGCTGAGTGTGACCAGCCACCCCACTTTGCCCTGGACTGGGGTTTCCTAGGATGCAAGACTTTCCGTTTATTTTATTTTATTTTTTGAGACAGAGTCTCATTCTGTCCCCCAGGCTGGGGTGCAGTGGTGATGTGGTTGGGCTGTGTCCCACCCAAATCTCACCTTCAACTGTAATAATCCCCACATGTCAAGGGCTGGGCCAGGGAAGATAAGTGAATCACAGGGGTGGTGGTTCCCCCAGACTGTTCTCGTGGTAGTGAGTAAGTCTCACGAAATTGGAGCGTTCTATAAAGGGCATTTCCCCTGCACACACTCTCTCCGCCACCATGGAAGAAGTCCCTTTGTTCTTCCTTTGTCTTCCACCATGAACTGTGAGGCCTCCCCAGCCACATGGAAATGTGAGTCCATTAAGCCCCTTTCCTTTGCAAATTACCCAGTCTCGGTATGTCTTTATCAGTGGTGTGAGAATGGACACAGCTCACTGCAGCCTCCACCTGTCAGGCTAGATGGCCTCCCACTCCAGCCTCCTGAGTAGCTGGGACTACAGTTGTGCTCCTCCATGCATGGCTAATTTTTTTTTTTTTTTCTCACTATGTTGCCCAGGCTGGTCTTGAACTCCTGGGCTTAAACAATCCTCCTGCATCGGCCTCCCAAAGTGCTCCCGCACCTGGTCAGGACTTTTTGGTTTAAAACAGATGGTCCCAGGCAAATTAGAACAAGTTGTCACTGCACTGCGCTGATGACACATCTCAGGGTCATCCTGAGGGCATGGCAGGTTTGGACTTGACCCTAGCCTGGGAAGTGGAGGGCTGGACGGAGGTGGCAGTTATGGTGGTTACAGCCAATCAGCCTAAGTTGGCTCTGACACCCAGATTACTTGCCTTCATCAAGCCACCTGTTAACTCCTGATTGAAAAGCACCCTACAAGGGACTTCTGCCTTTTGTGATCAGAACGCTTCAAATCATCACTGAGAAACAACAAATGATCATGCTTGGCTTCTTACTTCTGATCTGACTTCAGCCTTGCTAGAATTCCTAAGCAGAAAAAAGTCTCTGAGATCTCTGCTTCCTCTGAGTTCCTCTAGGACAGAGGCAGTGCCTTGTTCATCTCTTTAGCCCCTGCAGCCAGCACGGGCCTGGTGCAACGTGGGCACGTCTGTCACCCACCAGCTTGAAACCTGTTGATGGCTTCCCATCAGCTTAGGACAAAGACCCCAAATCCTGTCTAAGGCCTGCAAGACTCCATGGGGTGTGGCCCTGCCTGCTCTGCTGGCTCATTTCCCACTTCCACTGCACTGCAGCCCCAGTGAGCAGCTCTCTACCCCTTGCATCACAGGGCTTCCATCATGCTGTTCCCTCCACCCAGGACGCTGTTCCCTCCTCTCTGTACTGAAACAGAACACTGTGGACAGCAACTCGTACTCACCCTCCAGATCCTCTGGCTTCAGGTCCGCAGGACGCCTTCCCTGGACTCCCAACTAAATCCAAACTCCCGCATATAAAACGTCCCACTACAGTACAGCATGCACGTGTGCACACACATATACACAAGCACACAGCACTGCTCGGCTGCCAATTTCTCCTTTCCAAATCCTCCCTCCTCCTGGTTCCCTCCTGGTGGCTGGGAAGGGAGTGCTTATTCCAGAAAGCCCCTCGTTAGGGAAGCCCGTCGACTTACTTACATGACATTAGCTGGATGATGGAGGTTAGCACAAACCTCTCTCCCTGCTTCAGGCGGAAGAGCTGGAGCAAGAAGATGAAGAAGGCGATACAGCAGAGAATGGTGGAAAGGATCATGGTGGCCTGGACCGCCTGCAGTGTGGAGTACTCTGTGGGAAAAGGGCAGGGGCGCAGGACTGAGGACCTTGGCCAGCCAGCACTGTGGGGTACACAGTGACCACAGCAGCTCCAGAGTGGGGGTGACAGGAGGCAAACAGGCAGGGGTTCAGGCTGTCATCTACATGGTCTGAGCACAAGGGCAGGCAAAGAGTCTTCCAGACCCCCTGCCCCTTGCCTCCAGTGCCCATTTGACAGGACAATCCTCGACACCCTTATCTGGAAGACAGAGCGAGAAGACCACCTGTTCTGGTGCTTCCTGGTCTGGTCACAGCCTTCAAACACTTGAGTCGTGGACAGGGGATACTTTTTTTTTTTTTTTAAGAGATGAAGTCGCCGGGCGCGGTGGCTCATGCCTGTAATCCTAGCACTTTGGGAGGCCGAGGTGGGTAGATCACCTGAGGCCAGATGTTCAAGACCAGCCTGGCCTTCATGGCAAAACCCTATCTTTAAAAAAAAAAAAGAGAGAGATGGAGTCTCACTCTGTTGCCAGGCTGGAGTGCAGTGACGCGATCTTGGCTCTCTGCAACCTCCAACTCCCTGGTTCAAGCTATTCTTCTGTCTCAGCCTCCCAAGTAGCTGGGATTACAGGCGCATGCCACCACGCCCGCTAATTTTTGTATTTTTAGTAGAGACGGCGTTTCACCACGTTGGCCAGGATGGTCTCAATCTCCTGACCTCATGATCCACCCGCCTTGGCCTCCCAAAGTGCTGGGATTACATGCATGAGCCATCATGCCTGACCAGGGGATTCTTTTAAAGTACAAATCCCAGGTTCCAATGTGGTAGATTCTGACTCAAGAATTCAGGATGGGGCCTTAGGGGTCCACGTTAGAGAGGGATTCTCACCGACTTGGGGCTCATGAGACTGAGTGACCTTGTGGAAGTGCTCTGTGGACTCCATAGTAGCCTGCAGGTATCAAAGACTGATCTTCAGGGTCACTACCTATGGGAGGAGGAGAGCTCCTTTCTTTCAGGTCAGCCTTAACACAGACTGGGGTGTGAGAGTTTGGGGCTCATACAGAGAAGTTTCAATGGAGAAGGGAGGTGTGGAGTGAAGGGTATCACCTAGGGGCAGGTCACAGTGAAGCTATGTGTAGAAAGCTATGTGGCATAGGGAAAGTGTCCTGCACATGGGTTACAGCCACCTTCGTGGGCCTCAGTTTCCTCACCTGTAAAATGGGAATACTTTTTGGGTTTTTTTTTGAGACAGGGTCTCACTCTGACACCCAGGCTGGAGTATAGTGGCACAATCATAGCTCACTGCAGCCTTGAACTCTTGGGCTCAAGTGATCCTCCTGCCTCAGCCTCCTGTGTAGCTGGGACTACAGGCATGTCTGGCTAATTAAAAAAAATAGTGTAGGGACGGAGTCTTGATATGTTGCTCACACTGATCTTGAATTCTAAAATGGGGACACTAATAGATCCTCCCTCACCGGGCTGGGAAGGGAGGGAAAACTCATCTACGTAAGGGGGTTTAGATGGTGCAGGCAAGGTGGGAGTCCTGTTTAAGAGCTGAATGTTGGGCCAGGCGTGGTGGCTCACACCTGTAATCCCAGCACTTTGGGAGGCTGAGGCAGGTGGATCACCTGAGGTCAGAAGTTCGAGACCAGCCTGATCAACATGGAGAAAGCCCATCTCTAGAAAAATACAAAATTAGTCAGGCATGGTGGCACATGCCTGTAATCCCACCTACTTGGGAGGCTGAGGCAGTAGAACTGCCTGAACCCAGGAGGCGGAGGTTGTGGTGAGCCGAGACTCCGCCATTGCACTTCAGCTTGGGCAACAAGAGCGAAACTCCATCTCAAAAAAAAAAAAAAAAAAAAGAGCTGAATGTTGAATGCTACCTCCAGGATGAGGCCAGAAGATAAGTAGAGGGAACAGTGTCCACGCAGCACAGAAAATCTAAGGACACACCTTCCTTTTACTTTTTTTTTTTTTAATTTTGCAGTTTTGCCTGAAAACTCACTGGATCAAACATAATTTGTAAGGGCTTATGAAACATTCAGAGCCATGGATTTAACTGATCCTGGCTGTACATTATGATTACTTGGAATGCATCTAGCCTCTCCCCCAATTCCTTATGGGGAGCAAAAGAAGCCAGACCAGCTCCCCTCTATCACATATACCACATGACCCCATTCCTATGAAGCCCAGGAACAGGTGGAAGTGAGTGATAGTGACAGAAGTCAGAAGTAGTTGCCCTCGGGGCAGAAGGCAGTGGCAACAGTGTGGAAGGGGGCCCAAGGAACTTTCTGGAGAGTTGGGAATGTTCTCTGTCTTCCTTTGGATGGTGGTTACATGGGTGTTTATACAATTGTCAAAACCCATCAAACTGAGCCCCTAAGAAGGCTGCATTTCCTTGATTGTAAATTATAACTCCATTAAAAAATAAAGAAAAGAAAGAAAGAAAACCCAGCAGGCTCTCCTGAGATTAAATAAATCAGAATGTCGGGCATGGAGACCAGGCATCGGGGCTTCGTAAAGCCACCGAGAAATTCCAATGTGGGGCCAAATGGTGACCCTCTGGCTTAGAGCAGTACTTCCCAAATCTGCCCAGTCCCAGGGATCACTTGGGATTGCTTATTAAAAATACAGATACCCGTGGCTGGGCGCGGTGGCTCACGCCTATAATCCCAGCACTTTGGGAGACCGAGGCAGGTGGATCACGAGGTCAAGAGATCAAGACCATCCTGGTCAACAAGGGGAAACCCCGTCTCTACTAAAAATACAAAAATTAGCTGGGCATGGTGGCGTATGCCTGTAATCCCAGCTACTCAGGAGGCTGAGGCAGGAGAATTGCCTGAACCCAGGAGGCAGAGGTTGCGGTGAGCCGAGATCGTGCCATTGCACTCCAGCCTGGGTAACAATAGCGAAACTCTGTCTCAAAAAAAAAAATATACAGATACCCAGGCCTCTCCCCCTGGAGATTCTGCTACCATTGTCCTGGAGTGGGGACCAGGAATCTGTATTTTCAGCAACAAGTGACCCATGATGGGGCAAATGGGAAAAACATGCCTTTAGGGGAAAGGATGTATATATTTCTATAACAGGGCTTCTCAAAGCTGGGAGGGGGTGCAGGATGTGCCCACAAGGCAGCCCCTGAGACCAGTGTGTGTGGAATGCAATGAAGATGGGAAACCACAAAAATTCACTGAATGAGAGGGATGCTCACTCTACTCTGTTTAAATTCCTCTGAGGGCTGGGTGCAGTGGCTCATGCCTGTAATCCCAACACTTTGGGAGGCAAGGCGGGTGATCACCTGAGGTCAGGAGTTCGAGACCAGCCTGGCCAACATGGAAAAAACCGTGTCTCTAATAAAAATACAAAAATTAGCCTGGCGTGGCACACAATTCTAATCCTGGCTACTCAGGACATTGAGACGGGAGGATAGCTTGAACCCCGGAGGCGGAGGCTGCAGCAAGCAGAGATCGCACCACTGCATCCCAGTGTAGGTGTGACAGATTGAGACTCCATCTCAAATAAATAAATTCCTCTAAGGACCTCAAAGAGGAGTTCTCCACTTCCTCTAAGGACCTCAAGGAGGTCCTTCTCCACCGGCTGCTTTAGCACTTTAAAAACACTTGCTAATATCTGGGTGTTTTAGGTTGTTTGTTTTTTAACATGGAAAGGACCAGAAGCTTCAGGAGGCTTCAGGAGGGAAGTGTGTCTGACTAGACTTTAAACATCATTGGGCTTTCAATCTAGTATTTTCAGAAAGCTTCCCTTCTTTTATGGCAAGTGATACTAGTTTATCACTCATGGGAAGGACGTGAAGTTCTCTTTAAAGTAGACTTATGGTTTAGGAGGCCAAGGCAGGTGAATCGCTTGAGCTCAAGAGTTTAAGACTGGCTTGGGCAACATGGTGAAACCCTGTCTCTACAGAAAATACCAAAAAATTAGCTGGGCGTGGTGGCACACACCTGTAGTCCCAGCTATTCAGGAGGCTGCGGTGGGAGGATCACGTGAACCTGGGGGGCAGAGGTTACAGTGAGCCATGAATGCACCACTGCACTCCAGCCAGAGTGACAAAGTGAGACCCTGATTCAAAAAATAAAATAGATTTATGGGCAGGCACAGTGGCTCCTGCCTATAAATCCAAGCACTTTGGGAGGCCAAGGTGGGAGGATCACTTGAGGCCAGGCATGCGAGACCAGCCTGGGCAACATAGCAAGACCCTGTCTCTACTACATAAATAAACACAGTAGATTTACGTACAGAAAGTGGGCTATTTTAAAAGTAAACTTTTTAAAGTAAAAAAAGTTGACAACCTTTTTCAGTAGAGGGATAGACAGTGCATATTTTAGGTTTTGGTCTCTTGTCAAATGTTCTTTTTGTTTTGTTTTTAAGTGTGTGTGTGTGTGTGTTTAAACAACTTTTAAAAATGTAAAAACTGTTCATACCAAACAAAAATAGGCCCTGGACTGAATTTGGCCAGAGGTTCACCAGCCTGTTTCAAGGAAAAGTAAGTAAATAATCCCATGTGGAAGATGCAGACACAGAGGCTCGGAAACACAGCCACGGAGCCAAGCAAGCCCTCCCAGCTGGCCTCGCACACTGGCGACAGCTGGGACTTGCAGAGCACAGGGAAGGACGGCTGTCCCAGGGCCAGAGGTTAGCATGACCGATGAACAGACTGAGATGGAAGGGAGACTGATGCTGTTTCGTGGTTACAGGCACAGGCTTTAGAGTTGGTCACATCTAGACTGGAATCCTCTGCCTCCATCATTCACTCCTGGTTATGTGGCCTTGGGTAACTTAACTGCTCTATGCCTCAGTTTCCCCATTTTAAAATGGGGCCTATGGTCCCTGCCTGATAGGGCTATGAGATCATGTATGTAAAGGACTTAGACCCATGCCTCACAGTAAACTTTAAGTAAATGGTGCCTTCTACTGGCATTTTTGCTGTTTAATGATGAATATGGGTATTGCTACTGAGTGTGGTGGGAATCTCGGACCCAGGGCATAGGCTCCTTTGCGCCCTAACAGGATTGTTAGATTTGGCAAACAAACCAAAACAAACAAGACAGGGTGCTCAGTAAATGAATAGCTAATAGAAAACAAATAATTTTTAGTCTAGGCACGGTGGCTCACATCTGTAATCCCAGTACTTTGGGAGGCTGAGGTAGGCAGATCGCCTGAGTCCACAAGTTCGAGACTAGCCTGAGGGCAACATGGTGAAACTCCATCTATACAAAAATTAGTGGGGCAATTTGGTGAGTGCCTGTAGTCCCAGCTACTTGAGAGGCTGAGATGGGAAGGCCACTTGAGCCCAGGAGGTCAAGGCTGCAGTGAGTCATGATGGCGCCACCGCACTCCAGCCTGGGTGAAAGAAAGAGACCCTGTTAAAAAAAAAAAAAAAGACTAACCTCCCCATCAACCAACAAAAAAAAGTAACTTTTAATATAAATATGTCTCATGTTATAATAATATTCAGGACACAGTCAGGTCGAGCATGGTCGCTCATGCCTGTAATCCCCTCACTTTGGGAGGCTGAGGTGGGAGGATCATCTGAGGTCAACAGTTAAGAGACCAACATGGTGAAACCCCTAAAAATACAAAATCTCGTAGGGCCCATCTCTACTAAAAATACAAAAATTAGCTGGGTGTGGTGGTGTACGCCTGTAATCCCAGCTACTTGGGAGGCTGAGACAGGAGAATCACTTGAACCCGGGAGATGGAGATTGCAGTGAGCCAAGATCGCACCATTGCACTCCAGCCTGGGTGACAGAATAACACTGTCTCAAAAAAAATAAAATAAAATTTGGGACATAGTCATACTAAAAACAGTACTTACTGTTTATCTGAAATCTCTAATTTAACTGTGTATACTGTATTTTATCAGGCAACTGGGATCTATTCTGTTAGTTCTATGAGGAAAAACAGAACCATTTGCTTCATAATGGAAGACAGTGGCCAGCATGTTTTTGAATGGATTTTCTGTATTTCAAAGCCTTTTCATGTATTTTAGCTCACTGAAGAGTTAGGCACAGCAAGGGCATCATCACTTCTGTTCTATGGCTGAGGATGCTGAAATTGACCAGCCCAATGTGAGGCCACATGGCTCGTTCCTAACAACAGAAGCCAGATCTTGCATTTTTTTTTTTTTTTCTTTTTTTGAGACAGAGTTTTACTCTGTCACCCTGGGTGGAGTACAGCAGCACTATCTCACCGCAATCTCCACCTCCTGGGTTCAGGCAATTCTGCTTCAGCCTCCCCAGTAGCTGGGATTACAGGCATGCACCACCACATCCAGCTAATTTTTTGTATTTTCAGTAGAGACAGGGTTTTGCCATATTGGTCAGGCTGGTCTCAAACTGCTGACCTCAAGTGATTCACCCACCTCTGTCTCCCAAAGTGCTGGGATTACAGGCATGAGCCACTGCACCCAGCCAGATCTCAGATTTCTTACTGCTGGAGGGGAAAAAGTTATTAGAGAGTAACTTATGGTCTCTGAGCCTATTTAGAGGTGAGACTTGGATTAAAAAAAGGAGGGTAGGGAAAATTCTAGATGAGAGTGGAAGCTGGAGAAAGGATGAGGAAGGGAAACTGTGTTTCCAAGAGACAGAGAAGGGATGAGGCTCAACTTAGCGGACTTGGTCCCCCTCCAGTCTCGGCTTCTCTACACCTCTGCCCTCTCCAGCTTGTGCTGTCCTTTGCTCTAGCACACACCAAGCAAATGTGGCCAGGCACCCTCCAGCGACTAGAGGAGAGGGTGTGGGGTCAGAGAACCCGAAGCCTCCCTCCGGAGCGTTCCTTCCTCAGTGTTTCTCAGTCAGCTTCCTTCATTCACACTCACCTTGAAAGCTGTCATTGATTACTGTACAATTCGTGGTGTTGGTACATATTCTCCAGACATCTGCAAAAAACTCATCTCCTACCCACCAGGCCTATAACACAAAATGAAAACAGAGAGAAAGGCTGTCCATTAATGATGCAAACACTGACTCCTAATTAGGCACAAGGCACGGTGGGCTTCTGGGATTCTCAAACTGCAGCGCACGTGAGAATCGCCTGGGGAGCTTGTTCTACTGCAGACTGACTCAGGAGGTCTGGGGAGGGGCCTAGGATTCAGTATTTCTTTCTTTTTGTTTCTTTTTTTTTTTTTGAGACAGTGTCGCTCTGTTGCCCAGGCTGGAGGGCAGTGGTGCAGTCTTGACTCAATGCAGCCTCCATCTCTTGGGATCAAACAATCCTCCCACCTCGGCTTCCTGAGTACCTGGGACTACAGGTGTACACCACCATGCCTGGCTAATTTTTGCATTTTTTGTAGAGCCAGGGTTTCACCATATTTTCATGCTAGTCTTGAACTCCTGACCTCAGGTGATCTGCCTGACTCAGCCTCCCACAGTGCTGGAATTACAAGCATGAGCCACTGCGCCCGGCTAGGATTCTACATTTCTAACCAGCTTCAGATGATGCCCTGCTAATGTCTGCCAAAGGATAAGAGGTGGTCCAGGCCCTCAGAGAGCATGGGAGAAAAGATGATGCTGAGTTGGTGAAAATAATAACAGACAGGGCTAGGCACAGCGGCTCATGCCTGTAATCTCAGCACTTTGGGAGGCCAAGGTGGGAGGATTGCTTGAGCCCAGGAGTTTGAGACTAGCTCGGTGAACCCGTCTCGACAAAAAATTTAGTCAAGGGTGGTGATGCATGACTGTAGTCCCAGCTACGCAGGAGTCTGAGGTAGGAGGATCGCCTGAGCCTGGGCAGTAGTGGCTGCAGTGAGCTGTGATCACAACACTGTACTCCAGCCTGGGTGACAGAGAGAGACCCTGTTTAAACAAACAAACAAACACTGCAATGGATGAGATGACCAGAGAGGATTCTCCTGTCTTCAGCCCAAAGCATTCATTTCCCTCTGTGCTTTGGTGGCTGCTGCCATGCCCCAACTGCCCAAGACGGCCTTCTTTCTACTTTCCAGTCACCCAGACTAGACTCCCCATACCCATCCATCCAGTCAACATTCCCTGAGCTCCCACTGTGTGCCAGCCATAATGCCAAGCACAATTCCAAACTCTTTTTTTTTTTCTGGAGACAGTCCCACTGTGTCTCCCAGGCTGGAGTGTAGTATCACGATCTTGGCTCACTGCAATTTCCGACTCCCAGGTTCAAGCAATTCTCCTGCCTCAGCTTCCCAAGTAGCTGGGATTACAGGCGCCTGCCACCATGCCCGGCCAATTTTTGTATTTTTAGTAGAGTCAGGGTTCCACTATGTTGGCCAGGCTGGTCTCGAATTCCTGACCTTCTGATCCACCCATCTCAGTCTCCCAAAGTGCTGGGATTATAGACACGAGCCACCGCGACCAGCCACAATTCCAAACTCATAATGAATACACTCAGGCTCATTGATGGACAAAAAGTCCACCTGTGTCTTCTCAGAATGTGCCATGATAATATCCATGCCCTGAGGGTGCTGGATAGGATTCACTAAGGCAGATGGTTTTCCTGTCCCTAATGTCTGTCTATCCTTTTCACTGTCTGGGATCTTTTCAGGATCCCAAAGGACTAGATGGGAAGAAATAGAAAAAGGAGATTCGGAAAGAACATTGGGTCGCATTTATTTCAGTGAGCTCTGGGAATGGTGAGTCCAAATACTATAATCCAGGGGTCTCCAACCCATGGGCCATGGACTGGTACTGCTCTGTGGCCTGTTAGGAACCAGGCCACGCAGCAGGAGGTGAGCAGCCAGCAGAGGAAGCTTCATCTGTATTTACAGCTGCTCCCTGTCACTCACATCACCACCTGAGCTCTGCCTCCTGGCAGGTCAGCAGGGGTAATAGGTTCTTATAGGAATGTCAACCTTACAGTGAACTGTGTATGCCAGGGATCTAGGCTGCACGCTCCTTAAGAGAATCTAATGCCTGATGATCTGTCACTGTCTCCTATCACCCCCACATGGGACTGTCTAGTCCAGAAAAGCAAGCTTAGGGCTGCCACTGATTCCACATTATGACAAGTTGTATCATTATTTCATTATACATTACAATGTAGTAACAATAAAGTGGCCAGGTGCAGTGGCTCATGTCTGTAATCCCAGCACTTTGGGAAGCCGAGGAGGGCGGATCACCTGGGGTCAGGAGTTTGAGATCAGCCTGGCCAACATGGTGAAACCTCGTTTCTACTAAAAATACAAAAAATTAGCTGAGCATGGTGGCACGTGCCTGTTAGGAACTAGGCCACACAGCAGAAGGCTGAGGCAGGAGAATCGCCTGAACCCAGGAGGCAGAGGTTATAGTGAGCCAAGATTGCGCCATTGCACTCCAGCTTAGGTAACAGAGCAAAACTCCTTCTCAAAAGAAAAGAGTAACAATAATAATAAAGTACACAATAAGTGGAATGCACCTGAATCCTCCTGAAACCATCCTCCTGCAATGTCCCCTCCCCCATCCATGGAAAATTTGTCTTTCATAAAACTGGTCCCTGGTGCCAAAAAGGTTGGGGACCACTGCTATAATCCACAGCATCAATGTGGTCTCTGCCCACGCCACTTACAGCAGCTCGGCAAGAAGCTCCAGAACCCAAATTCAATGACTGCACTCATCTACCCTGACAGGCTCTAGGACCAGGAGCCTCTGGAATGGCTCAAATCCTGGCTCTGCTGCTTAGTGCACTGTAAACTCTGCCAAGTGCCTGCCCTGAGGCTCAGTTCCTTCACCTGTAACCCAGTGCAAGATGTTGGTACCCTGCCTGGTATGAGGATCACCTGAGATGACATCCATAAAAGGGCTTGTATGAGCCCTGGCCATAGTGATCACTAAGGACAGGTGTTGTCGTTTATGTTATTACTGTCATGACGATTCCTCAACAGGAGCCGCATATGCAGGCAGAGTTGGTGACCACTCGTATGGTGCACTTTTCGGCTTTCTGAGCAATGTTTCTGCCCTTTAATTATCTCTGCAGTTTACAATGAGCAGGATGGAAGCCAGCTCTTTGGATCGGTATATAGGCCTTAGGGAAGCTCTGTTAAAAAGCTTTCCTAGGCCAGGCACAGTGGCTCAGGCCTGTAATCCCAGCATTTTGGAAGGTCGAGAGGATCTCCTGAGGTCTGGAGTTTGAGACCAGCCTGACCAACATGGAGAAACCCCATCTCTACTAAAAATACTAAAATTAGCTGGGTGTAATGGAGCGTGCCTATAATCACAGCTACTCGGGAGTCCGAGGCAGGAGGATCATTTGAACCCAGGTGATGGAAGTTGCAGTGACCCAAGATCGCGCCATTGCACTCCAGCCTGGGTGAAAGAGTGAAACTCTGTCTCAAAAATAAAAAAATAAAAAGAAGCTTCCCTAATACCACTCCCTGCTTAGAGGGATATTAATCTATGACAATAGGTTATTTATTTTTCCAATACATTCCTGCCATATTGCTGCAAGCTGGATACCAAAGGAAAATGTTAAATTTTTCATAGGAGCATAGGTAGAGTCTGGAAAGTTCCAGGCCTAAGCTCTGCTGGGGAGGACATGGCTGGGAGGGCTAGCAGCAAGGGACCCTTGTTGGTAAGGAGATATCAGGGGTTGGGGCAGAGGCCACCTGGGATGGGTCACCTGGGAGATCTAGGGAAGCGGTCCTCAACAGAGGGTGATTTCGTTCTCCACAGGACATTTGGCAATGTCTGAAGACATTTTGGATTGTCGTAACCAGGAGTGAGGGTGCTACTGCATCTAGCGGATTAAGGCCAGAGATGCTGCTGAACTTCCTGCAATACACAGGGAGGCCCCCATTAACAAAGGATCATCCAGCGCAAAATGACAATTGTGACCAGGTTGAGAACACTGATCTAGAGGAAAGCTGAAGTCACACAACGTCCTCAGAGGGCTTCCTAGAGCCAGGCTCTGTGGAAGAATCATGGATGGGAGGACAAACGCCCTGCCTGCCAGGACCTGCCACCAAAGCCTGAACATGGGATGCCCTGAACCTTCACATTTAGGCCAAGAGTCCTGAGGCCTTGGCTCAGAAGATTGGTCATGCCTTCGCAGGGAGGACAACCCCAAATCGTGATCACCTTGGCAGGGTTCTCAACCTGTGATATGGTTTGGCTGTGGCCCCATCCAAATCTCAAATTGTAGTTCCCATAATTTCCATGTCATGGGAGGGACCCGGTGGGAGGTAACTGAATCATGGGGGCGGGTTTTTCCCATACTGTCCTCATGGTAGTGAGTAAGTCTCACAAGAGCTGATGGTTTTATAAAGGGCAGTTTCCCTGCACACAGTCTCTTGCCTGCTGCCATGTAAGACATGTCTTTGCTCCTCCTTTGTCTTCTGCCATGATTGTGAGGACCCCCAGCTCTGTGGAACTATGAGTCCATTAGACCTCATTTTCTTTATAAAGTACCCAGTCTCTGGAATGCCTTCATAGGCAGCATGAGAACAGACCAATAGAACCCACTTCTATTAACTCCAGGACCCAGGGTTCTGCGTGAGTGGCAGGAAAGCAGACTTACATTGTCGATGGTGGCAATGAACAGCAAGGCCGCAGAGGTGATGTGGAAGGCAATGATGAAAGCAAGAAGCACCAACATTTTCACAGGGCAGGCCGAGGAGAGGGGTCACGTTTAAAGCCCAGAGCAGGATGTGCTGAAGAGGGTAAGAAAGAGAAATTCAAAATCTGTCAATGACAAAACAAAATTACAATAAAAAATAAACACCTTTTAGCTGGGCATGGTGGCTCATGCCTATAATCCCAGAACTTTAGGAGAAGGCAGGAAGATCACTGGAGCCCAAGAGCTTGAGACCAGCTCGAGCAACATAATAAGACACTCTCTCTAAAAACAATGAAAGAAAATTCGCTGGGCACAGTAGTCATACCTGCAGTCCCAGATACTTGGGAAGCTGAGGCAGGAAGATTGCTTGAGTCTGGGAGGTTGAGGATGCAGTGAGCCATGATTGTACCACTGCACTCCAGCCTGGGCAACAAAGCAAGACCCTGTTTCTTAAATTAAAAAAAAAAAAAAAAAATTTCATGGGGTCTTAGAAAAGCAAAACCAGCTCTCCCCATTTTTTCTCGCCTGGAGACTTTACTGGACAAAAGTGTGGCATGACGGGGGCTGTCTGCTGCTGCATCCAGAAGCCAAATATTCCTGGTGGAGGAGGAGAATGAGGATGCATTAGAATCCCTAATTCAGAAAAGCATCACGCCTCTTGGGAAGGAAGGAGCAGCTCGGTGTGTGCTAAGATGCTGTTCCTGATTCCCTATGCCCCAGAAGCTCATTGTCTGAGGATTGCTGATCAGAGCCCCTACTTCATAACAAAGCCAAAGTGATCACAATACAGAAACATTTCCTGATAATCTGACCATGCATAAAATGATTCCCCAATTGGGCATGGTGGCTCATGACTAATCTCACCACTCTGGGAGGCCAAGGTAAGAGGATGGCTTAAGCCCAGAAGTTTGAGACCAGCTTGGGCAACAGAGCAAAACTCCATCTCTACAAAACATTTAACAACCAGCCTAGTGTTGTGGTGTATGCCTGTGGTCCCAGATACTTGGTGAGCTAAGGCAGAGGACTGCTTGAGCCCAGGAGGTGGAGGCTGCAATAAATCATGATCTCACCGCCGTACTCCAGCCTGGGTAACAACAGAGCAAGACCCCATTTCAAAAAAATAAAAATAAAAATAAAATAAATGCCCACTCAGATACCATTATTCTTAATATCTATTCCCATTTGAACAACAGTGGACCCCCCAAAAACGCAACATGTGACAGAAAGCTGCCATTTCATTTTCCCCTCTCGGATCATACAGAAAGACTACATTTTCTGGACTCCCTTGCAGCTAGATTAGGAACTCGTGACTAATTCTAACCAGTGGGCCAGCACCACAAACACGATGATTTCCGAGCTGAGGCACAGGAGAGCAGGTATGAGTTCTCCACACTCTCCCTAAGGAGGTAGCTGGGGATGGTGCAGCCACATAGTAGGTTGAAGCCTCACACCTTGGATAGATATAATGATTGGAGAAATAAGCCTCTGGATGTTAAACCACTGAAATTTCAGGGTAATGCTTTACTCTGGCAGGACAGTTTGAATGATATGCAACAGGAAGCAACTGCAAAGTCAAACTGGAAATCTTTTTTTTTTTTGAGATAAAGTCTCACTTTGTCTCCCAGGCTGGAGTGTGGCAACATGATCTCAGCTCACTGCAACCTCCAGCTCCCAGGTTCCAGTGACTCTCTTGCCTCAGACTCCTGAGTAGCTGGGACTACAGGTGCCCGCCACCACTCCTGGCTAATTTTTGTGTTTTTAATAGAGACAGGGTTTCACCATGTTGGCCAGGCTGGTCCCGAACTGCTGACGTCAGGTGATCCGCCCTCCTCAGCCTCCCAAAGTGCTGGGATTACAGACTGAGCCACTGCGCCTGGCTGAATTGGAAATCTTACAACAGAACTCCAGTTGTCCACAGTTGATGAAAATGTTGAGGGAGAACAGATGAAAAGCCACTGAGGGCATGAAGACATGAGGACTTGTCTGAGCTGGACAAGTTCCAAATAAATGAGGAAAAGGCATTCAAAAACTGATTTAAATATAAAACAACTGAAAGTCACACTTGGGAAAATTGGTAACATCCTTGAGTATTTTATGACCATAATCTTGGTCAACAAACTCAAATGTCAAGAGATGTCACACCAAATGATCTGTCTGGAAGATGCAGCCTCCTAAAATCAACACTTGGTTCATCTTTCATTACAATAATTTGTGACCAGATAGTTACTACATTTTTGGGGAAAAAAATTAATTTGCAGTTTAATGTTTTGAAGTACAGTGCAAATCAGACTTTCTGTTCACCGGGATGAAATTATAGCCCCAGTCTAAATGGATTAATGCACACACACATATTTTTTTCTGAGCCACTTGAGAGTAAGTTGCCTAAACCATATCTCTTTATAACTAAATGCTTTAGTGTGTATTTCTGAAAAACAAGAACTTTTTTTTTTTTGGAGCAGAGTCTTGCTCTGTCACTCAGGCTGGAGTGCAGTGGCACGATCTCGGCTCACTGCAACCTCCACCTCCCAGGTCCAAGTGATTCTCCTATCTCAGCCTCCCGAGTAGCTGGGATAACAGATGCCCACTGCCATGCCTGGCTAATTTTTGTATTTTTAGTAGAGATGGGGTTTCATTATATTGGCCAGGCTGGTCTCGAACTCCTGATCTCAAGTAATCTGCCTACCTCGGCCTCCCAAAGTGCTGGGATTACAGGCGTGAGCCACTGCTCCCTGTTGGGCATTTTCTTACACTATGATGATAACAATGAAGAAATTTAACATGATACAATATAACTATCATATCTACAGCCCATAGTCAAATTTCTCCAATTATCCCAATAATATTCTATATGGCTGTCTTTTCCCTGCCCCAGGATCCAGTCCAAGATGATACACTGCATGTCAGTTTCAGGTCTCTTTGGTCTCCTTTAATCTGGGACACTTCCTCAGGCCTGTCTTTATTTTTCATGACACTGATATTATTTAAGAATATTGACCAGCCGGTGCAGTGGCTCAAGCCTGTAATCCCAGCACTCTGGGAGGCTAAGGAGGGCGGATCATCTCGGGTCAGCAGTTCGAGACCAGCCTGGCCAACATGGTGAAACCCTGGCTCAAAAAACCAAAACAAACAAACAAAAAACAATATTAACCATTTATTTTGTAGAATGTTCCTCAAATTTGTGTTGGATGTTTCCTCATGATTCAATTCAGGTTATGCTTTTTTTTCAGCAGGAATGGCACAAGATCCCTCAATAGATCCCTCAATGGATTCCACCAGGAGGTTCTATATGCCAGTGTGTCTCATCGTGGTGATGCTAACTTTGATCACTGGGTTGTGTTCTGCCAGATTCTTTCACTGTACATTTCCCCCTTTGTCATTAGAAAATAATTTGTAAGGCCTGGTGTGCTGCCTCAAGCCTGTAATCCCAGCACTTTGGGAGGCCGAGGTGGGTGGATCACCTGAGGCCAGGAGTTTGAGACCAGCCTTGCCAACATGGTGAAATCCAATCTCTACTAAAAATACAAAAATTAGCCAGGCATGGTGGCTCATGCCTGTAATGCCAGTTACTGGGGAGGCTGAAGAAGGAGAACTGCTTGAACCCAGAAGGTGGAGGTTATATTGAGCTGAGAGTATACCACTGCATTCCAGCCTGAGCGACAGTGAGACTCCATCTCAAAAAAAAAAAAAAAAAAAAAAATTGTAGAGGAGATATTTGGTAAAATACACATACAATTTACTATTAGTATAAATGAGACACATTACATTCTCAATGCTGTATATCCATCACTACTATCCAGTTCTAGAACATTTCATCACCCCAAAGTAAGTTCTGTACTCAATAAGCAGCTATTCCCTATTCTCCTTTCCCCCAACCCCCAGCAACAACTAATGTGCTGTTTCTATGGAGTTGTCTATTTTAGATATTTCATATCATTGGACTCAAACAGCATGTGGCCTTTTGTATCTGTCTTCTTGCATTCAGCATAGTGTTTCAAAGGTCCATCCATGTTGGGCATGTGTGGGAAGGAATTCTGAGATAACGTAAAGATCCTATCTCTCATGCAACTTTCACTCAGAGTTTAAGCATTCACTGATAATTCTGAAACAGAATCTTTTTTTTTTTTTAATTGAGACAGAGTCTTGCTCTGTTGTCCAGGCTGGAGTACAATGGCATGATCTTGGCTCACTGCAACCTCTGCCTCCTGGGTTCAAGCGATTCTCCTGCCTCAGCCTCCCCAGTAGCTGGCATTACAGGCACATGCTATCACGTCCGGCTAATTTTTGTATTTTTAGCACAGACGGGGTTTCACCATGTTGGCCAGGCTGGTCTTGAACCCTTGACCTCAGGTGATCTGCCTGCCTCAGCCCTACAAAGTGCTGGGATTACAGACATAAGCCACCATGCTTGGCTCAAAATAGGATTATTTTTAAAAGCCTTTTTCTGGTACCAACTCTTCCCCCTCCTCTAGTGGACATGCGCTGCCTGCACAAACCCTCCACCTTTTCACTGACAGCTCTCCTCTCTAACTGTGCTCATTCTCACTTGCAATGTCCCCCCACAGAATGGATCAAGTCTCATGGGCTCACACAGGGGCCACTCCTTGAGACATAGGACTCATTAACCATAGGCAGGAGCTGTATGTCTGCAGAACTCAGTTCTGAGAGGTCCTGGCTGTGACTCTGTACATCACCATTTAGAAGGACCCAGTGAACCAACTTAGAGATTCTTCTAATTCTTTCAAAAAGGACAAACTCCCCTTTGTTTAGGCCTGCGTTATTCTTAGCTACCATCATATGCTGCTGCCTCTCAAAATGATGCATTCCTTTTTTTTTTTTTTTTTAGTAGATGCATTTCTGACCCTGGGGGAGAAAAGGGCTCAAGTACCATGCTGAATGCCCTGTTACTTTAACATCAGCTGGAATGCCCAAATGCCAACTTCACCAGGGCTACAAATGCATATGGAAGTATAACTAAAACTTTCTAGAAAAATTTTTTTAAAAAGGTTTTAACTCATTCTTTTGCAACAGATGGAATTCCAATGTTATAAGGCATGATTTTGGATAGTGCATTGATAAGGTATAAGCAACATTGAACCATATAGTGCAAAAGTCCCCATTCCAATCCTTCTGGGTTCACCAAAGAAAAGACCCAATTTGGTTCTAGTCAGTCTCTAATACTTGCTAATTTCTTTTTAACAAAAAGAGAAAGCAGATCTTTGGTTAGACCATATTTGTAGCTAAAATTTAATAATATAATTTTGAGTTCATTACATTTATTTTTAAGCTCCTTTATTATAAGGAAGAAACATTACTCAAAGTAGTGACATAAAGCATCATTTTAAAACCAAGTTATTGAAGCTTTAAAAGTGAATAATTTAGGGAAAATGTTATGGAAGTAAAAGGACAAGTGGTCCTCAGTGTCCGCAGAAATCCTGAGGGGAGCTGTCAAATGCTGATGTCTGAGGGGTACTGCTTTAAGCTCTGGGAATGGTTTCATTTGGACATTTCAGACATCAGAAACAGGCTTGTATAGAGAAAGGGATAGGTTTTCATGAGAAGTCACGTAAGGTTTTGAGTCCAGTGTAACGGAAAAGGCGGCTAGAGGTTGGTTTGAACCATTAGGCACTTCAAAAAGTAAGGCAATAGAGAAGTAAAGCTCTCCTACTTAGTACTTTCTGGTAATGACATCTGGAATTCAGATCTCCAGTAAAAACCAAAACGGGGTAGCTCAATTTTAGGTCTTGTGAACCCAGAACATTGCTGGTGACTTCATCTGAGGCTTTGGAGGAAGCGGAAATCCCCAACGATTAAGAGGTTATAAAAATAACCCTTTACTCCTGCATCTCTATACCAAAATAAGTCTCCCTTCTGCGCCATCCCCGAAGCCAACCTGCCAGTGTCTTAGAGGAAACCACGCTTCTCAGTTTCCTGTGCCTTAATCCAGAGACATTTATGGGAGAACACTTATTCTTCACTCTTCACGTTTCCGTGTGAGGGGAGCTGTACCAGAGTAACACTCCAGGCCTCTTGTCCCGCCCCTCACTCATTCCTTCACTCCTGATTGGAGGAAGCGCCACTGTCCGCTTTCTGGATTGATGCAGCGCATTTATTCCAGGCTCCGGTGCAATGCTTTGCCCTTCCCTGCACCTCCTCCTAGGCATGGTTGCTCCCACTGAGCCCGTCAACTTTCCTTGGCTGGAGGGGCTGGGGGCTAGTAGGGGACAGTAGTGTGGAACTGGGAGCTCCAGCAAGCTCCTTTGGCCACAGTCTAAGCCCCATCCTCCAATCATCTTTTCTAATAATTCCCCTGAGAGAGCAATCTTTCCCTGTGCCTACGAATCCACCTCATTCCTTGAATGGCTGCCTGCTGTTACACTGTGCAGCTACACTACAATTTACTTAACTAGTTCCCTACTGGCAGCCATTTAGGTCACTTCTAGACTTTCTGCTGCTCTACACGGTACTGCCAACGAGCATCCTTCCACTTATACTTCTTTGCACACACCTTGTATTAATACATTGAAAGGCAGATTCTTAGTAGTGAAGGTGTTGAATCAAAGAGTATGTGCATTTATTTTGCTTGTAATTTAAACAATTTCATTTACTGCCTTATACATTGGACACTGTTCATACTGCATCAGCCTTGATCTTCAGAGGGTATCAAGTACTGGACCAACTTTTTTTTTTGTTTTTTTGAGATGGAGTCTTGCTGTTGCCCAGGCTAGAGTGCAGTGGCACAATCTCAGCTCACTGCAACCTCCACCTCCCAAGTTCAAGCGATTCTCCTGCCTCAGCCTCCTGAGTAGCTGGGTTACAGGCGTGCGCCACTATGCACGGCTAATTTTTGTATTTTTAGTAAAGACAGGATTTCACTATGTTGCCCAGGCTGGTCTTGAACTCCTGACCTCAGGTGATCTATCGGCCTCTGCCTCCCAGAGTGCTAAGATTACAGGCATGAGCCACTGCAGCCAGCCAAGCACTGAACCAACTCTTAAGCATTTATGTGGGTGGGCAGAAAAGCCTTGATGTTATATTTTTGACTCCTAACATGACATAAGTTGCCCCCAAGAAACATAATTCTGGTCCGTAGAGACCAGCCTCCACCATCCCCAGGGCTTTTCCAAGTAGTGCTATCTCCTTGCCACCATACACCCGTGTTTCATCCTGCCCTCTCTGATGATATGAAAGAACAAACAGCTCCCCGGGTTGTGTGTTGGATGAAGGTTGGTCCACCAAGCCCAAGGTGGCATCAGAATTAACCCTTGACATTCACAAAAAGTTATTCTCCCTTCAAAAAATGTAATAGTAAATAAGAATCCATCTCCTTCCCCACCACACCTCAACCCCTACACCCACCCTTGTGCCTGCAGGCTTCAGTGCTCTGCCGCTTTAGGGGGACTGGTTTTGTCTCAGTTCCCCAGAGCAATCTCTCCATTTCGCCCTCAGCTGGCTCTCTGGCACTGTCTAGGTCTCAATTCTAAATGACCTCCCCAGAGAAGCGCCCCTGAGCATACCACGTAAAGTAGCCACGCCCCCTCCGGCATAATCTAGCCCATCCGGTTTAGTTTCTTTGGAGGATTAGCTTGGTCTGAAAGCATCTTTTTTGTTTTTTGTTTTTTTTTTTTGGTCATGATCTGTGGTTTTCTTTTTAATTATCTTAAGTCTTATGATCACGAATCATTTTGAAATTTGTGTATATCTCCGCTACTTTAATCCTTTTAAGTTGGCAAAAGCACCATTCCCAGTCACAAATACACAGCAGTTGTACAGTTTTGTTTCTGAATGGCTGTTTAAAGACAATCCTAAATTATAACGTAGTTTGATTTAGATTGTAAAGAATCCAAGAGTGAAGTTCAATTGGCTACTATTTTAAAAGAATGTGACCTTATAGATCATCTATAAAATGTGTGAAGTGTTAAATAATTTTTTTTTCAGATGGAGTTTCGCTCTTGTTACCCAGGCTGGAGTGCAATGGCACGATCTCGGCTCACCGCAACCTCCACCTCCTGGGTTCAGGCAATTCTCCTGCCTCAGCCTCCTGAGTAGCTGGGATTACAGGCACACGCCACCGTGCCCAGCTAATTGTTTGCATTTTTAGTAGAGACGGGGTTTCACCATGTTGACCAGGATGGTCTCGATCTCTTGACCTCGTGATCCACCCGCCTCGGCCTCCCAAAGTGCTAGGATTACAGGCTTGAGCCACTGCACCCAGCTCAATAATTTTTCATATTACACGTAAACCACACAAAATGCCTTTCAACAAGTAAAAGGAACCATTTTAAATACAGGGAATTCTAATTGGATTGGCATAGTTAAGGCCAAAAATATAAAGTAGCCATTGCTACCCATTTATCTTCAACCCTTGCCTTTAAGGGCAAATGAACACGAAACACAGTGAATCTTGCTTGGTTCTGAGACAGTGAAGGAATTTCCCCCATATTTAAATATATTCACATAACCAGTTATATAAATCTAAATATAAAACCAATCTCCAGTAAGTTTTAAGATGGCACTCACTATCTTTGTGAAAAGTTTGACATTACTAACGAAGTCTAATATCTTTAGAAGGGGTGAACAGATAGAATTTACTAAATTGGAATTACTATTAAAATCCAAAAACTGAACATATTCATTTAACCACAAGCCAGTCTTAGTTTTAAATCAGGACTGCCCAACAAAATATTCTGTCATTCATGTTGTAAATTCTGGTGTATGAGCTCTATTAAAGTATGGTACACATAAAAAGTCATGGGACATTTGTTTCTTAATAAATAAGGCAGTGGCCAACTATTACTCATTAGTAGCTTTTTTGAGATAGGCTATTAAGTCTTCCCTTTCTCCCTTCTTCTTAATGCCAACAAAGATCATTTTTGTTCCAGGGATATACTTCTTGGGATTCTCCAAATACTCCATCAGTGTATCCTCTCCCCATATGATGCCTTTGTTCTTATTGGCTTCAGTGTAAGTGAATCCAGAGGCCTGACCTGTCTTCCGCCCAAAGATACCATGGAGATTAGACCCAGTCTTGTGCTTGCCTCCCTTTTCCCCAGTGTGACATTGGGAACACTTCTGAATAAAAAATCCTCTTGCCTTTCTCAACATCACTCATATTTAATTCTTTTTCGTCGTTAGCGCAACAAAGGTTACCGCTCAGAAGCCGGACGTCCCACTCTCTCAGTCTGAAAGCATCTTATTCGCTGAGTTGTTTGTTGTCTATCTCCTCCTCTGACAGCTGTTTGCTATCACTGTCTAGTTCTAGAAATGTAGAGCAGTAAAGGCCCTTGGAAAACTCAAAGCCCTATTGTCCAGAGGCATTAATGAAAACCAGGGAGGACAAGACTTGCTCCATCTCACAGCAAAGCAGGAACAAGCTCAAGACTAGACCAGGGTCTCCCGGCTACGACTCCAATCACCCTGTCTATCTCAGTGGGAGACCCCTCAGAAGGCCCATGACAAGCTTTCAAGAGTCAGTGATGTTCCCCAAAAGCCTCTGTCACTTTGAAGCATAACTTTCACTGTGGAATACAAACTGTGTCTTTTTCCTTCTTCAATTTCTTCAGGGGCCAAGCAGAACATTCTAAAAGGCCACCTGAGTTTGGGCGTTTACCCACCTGAAGGTAGGAGACTGACCTGGAGGAAATGTTCAAGTTTCTGTGTAGAAATCAAAGTTCTATGATTTGCAGAACTTCTCTTTCAAAAATGTTTTGCTCTACATAAAATGATGATTTTTTTAAAGAAGATAATAGAACCAAAAGGCATATGGTGAAAAGTCTTTGTCTTACTGCTGTCCTGCAACCTGGAAGCAACCACTTTTAATCTTTTCAGCTGTTTCTACTCGACTTCTCATCTCCATATTTCCAAACAATATTCATGCACTGCTATTTCTTGATTAACATTATTAACTTCTTGCTTTAAGTTTCTCTTTTTCATCATCATTTGCCCCCCTATATCCCTCCTTCCATCATTTCAATACAGTCTGCATTTAGAGCAATAATTGGCATTTACATGATTGCTATATAAATATTGTACTCTACAGAGCCAAGTAGTGTACTAAGATTGAAACTCCTTTTTCCCTAGCATTTCTAGTTTACTTCTTTCTTTTCTTCCATCATTTCTTCCTCCCTCACTGTGTGTGGTTCCATCTATTTTCCATATTTCTTCAGTTCCTTCCAATTTTTTTTTTAGTCATTTCAAGACTTCTTGCAGAATCCCAAATGCAACACATGCATGGTTTTGGTTACAAGCCTGTGGTTAGCCTGATTCTTCACAGTGCACATTCTCCAGCTAGTAGTCTCTCTCCTGGCTCTGCCTTTCCCTGCTGTCTGCCAGGTGAAGCCTCAGCAACTCCTGCTGTCATAGGACAAGTAGGACAAGCCATCCACGTCTGGCACTTTTCAGAGAAGATAGCAAATTTGCTTCTAACCTTGGGCAGGGCACAGGGGTTCAACATAACCCCAAGATGTGTAGGTGATAAGGCAGAGCCCTGAGGAATGGGTGCCCATAGGGGTTATGCCACATGAAAAGGAGACTCCTCATGATTAAAGGTCAGGAAAAGGTCATGATTCAGATCAGGAAAAATACACAGCACATCCTGCATGGAGTTTTCATGTCAACCTTATGATGCTGGCAGAGCAAGGTGTCATTATCCCCATTTTACAGATGATAAATCAAGGCTCCTAAAATGGCTCTGGGTGATTTGCCAAAATTCACAGCCCTGGAATTCACTAGTTTTCCAGTTCCAAATACAGGGCATTTTTCTACAACTCTCTTTCCTACTCACATGCTTAAGGCCTGGTGAAAACCACACATCAGCTTAATTAAGATCAGGCGAGACAGCACTATGCAGTACCAGGCAGGAGGAATTTGCGAAGGCAGCCTCTCTCTGCACTGGCCCATTCTCTAAGGTTGAGAGATGACTGGGCTAATTAAGAGAGGGCCTGATTAAGAACCATGCTTTAGGCTGGGTGCAGTAGCTTATGCCTATAATCCCAGCACTTTGGGAGGCCGAGGTGGATGGATCACTTGAGGACAGGAGTTCAAGACCAGCCTGGTCAATTTGGCGAAACCCTGTCTCTACTAAAAATACAAAAATTATCAGGGCGTGGTGGCAGGTGCCTATAGACCCAGCTACTCAGGAGGCTGAGGCAGGAGAATCATGAGAATCGCTTGAAGCCAGGAGGCAGAGGTTGCATTGAACTGAGATCACACCACTGCACTCCAGGCTGGGTGACAGAGTGAGACTCCATCTCAAAAAAAAAAAAAAAAAACAAATAAAAAAACATGCTTTAGCCTTCATAGGGTTGGCTGCATTTTTCATCCTGTTAGCTCACTGGCCAAGCTGAAGTGCTTGCTGTCTTCATTGATCTAACTTTGAGACTGGTTTGGATTATGGATAAAGTGTTTCCTTAATATCTAAAAGGAATTATGCACATGTGGTAGAGTGGGCACAATTCTGTTTTTGAAATTAATTCTAAATTAATCACCTTTTCTGGGTATCCAGAAATTCGGTGAGGTGGATCTCACTAAGTACAATAATGGCCTGGATACCCCAACGTTAATTCAGTGCATTGTAGGTACCATGGTAAGCTGTCTTCAGATTAAAGCCCTGAATACTTCCCATTCTGTGAAATACCCATAATCACATAAAATAATACAGAACACAGGATATTACAACTTCAGACTTAAATTAATTTCTTCCCTTCTTCCTTCCTTCCTTCCTTTTGGCTCACTGTAACCTCCACCTCCCAGGTTCAAGCAATTCTCCTTCCTCAGCCTCCAGAGTAGCTGGGATTATAGGCATGCGCTACCATGCCCGGCTAATTTTTGTATTTTTATTAGAAACGGGGTTTCACCGTGTTGGTCAGGCTGGTCTCAAACTCCTGACCTCATTATCTGCCCACCTCAGCCTCCTAAAGTGCTGTGATTACAGGGGTGAACCAACTTAAATTTATTTTTAAAGAACCCATAACCAGGGTGGGAGAACCGCAGATGACTTTTTCAAGCAGCAGCAAGCATCCTCCAGGCATAAGAACTGGAGAGAGTGGGGCTGAGGAGGAAGAAAAAGAGGGAGGAGGAAGGGGTGAGGCACTGGGAAGTGTGGGTGGCATTATGGAAATTCTGCACACAAAGTGGAACATTTGTGGTCTGGTTTGGTAAGTTTCTTTTTTTTTTTTTTTTTTTTTTGGTGACAGGATCTCTGTCACCAAGGCTGCAGTGCAGTGGCACAATCACACCTCACAGCAACCTCGAACCCTTGGACTCAAGTGATCCTCCTGCCGCAGCCTCCCCAGTAGCTGAGACTACAGCTGGACATCACCATGTCCACCTAATTTTACTTTTTGTAGAGATGGAGTCTTGCTGTGTTGCCCAGGTTGGTCTCAAACTCCTGGCCTCAAGCCATCCTCCCACCTCGGCATCCCAAAGTGCTGGGATCACAGGCATGAGCCACGGTGCCCAGCTGGAGTTTTAAGTTCTGTAGTTTGACAGGAAGGACAGTGCTCTAGAACTGTCTATCCTGATCTCAGATAACAAAGAGAACTGACATTTCCTCACTCTTTCCTAAACAGAGGTGCTGTCCTGCTTTGCCTTAGTCCAATGTTTGCTTAAAGTGTGTGTATGTGTGTGTGTGTGTGTGTTGCACGTCTAGCCTTGGGTGTGGAGAAACACAAGCAACCTTCCAGAGGCTCACTGGCCCTCCCTCTTCCAGAAGCACATTTGGTTTGCTGTTGCTCGTGGAAAGTCACCATGAGGGTCTCGTGGATAAATAAAAGGCTATGGGATCTGCCCATGGATGGGGTCAGGGACCCCCTCCCCTGGCCATCGTCTCCTTCTTAACAACCATGAATTTCCACCCGTGAGCCCCATCCCCGGCTTGCTGTTGGCAAAGGAAGTCGCTTTGGCACATGCTCCCTTACGTGCCAGGAAACAAGAGTGAGAGAGCCCAGCCGGCTTCCCGCAGAGGGAGAACGTGCTGTTAAGATGACCGCTCCGTCCGCCCAACTCCATTCCCACCCTCGGAGCTCTTCCTACTATTTAAACCACAGCCGATTCTTAGCCTGAGTTGGAGTCTTTTCCCGGAATTGCAGGCAAAAGGACACAATCCCGAGGTGTGGAACCTTTCAATACAGACCTGACATGTTTGGCGTCTAGAGGTCCGAGCCAATCCCCCAACTCAGAAGTGTTCCACCCACAGCTTCTGCTCCAAATGCCAGAGAGGCTCTGGTCCAGAACCCTGGGGAGGGCCGGGCTGGTGAGCAGTCACCAGGCCACCCTGGAAAGACTCCCAGGACTGCTGTGGGGCTGGTGGGTCAACCCCATGCTGGCCAGAGCCCAGGCCCCTCCCACTGCCCAGAGCACTCCAAGGGGACGGAGGCTTTGGCCTCTGTTTTCAGGAAGACAGAGGTCAGCCCAGCCTCCTGCCCTAGTATCTGGACACCATCCAGCCAGGAATATTCAGGCGTTTGAGATGCCACGGGGAAGGAGGAGCCCATGTGCCCTGCACAGCCCAGCTCCATGCTCACTGCGGCTACAGCTTTTGGCACAAAGTCAGCATTTGGCTCTCTCCGGAAATGGCAACAGGCGGGACACTGGAATTTGGCAGTGCCCCAGGGCAGAAGCCACTGAGGATCACTCTGTCTGTGCAGCCCTGAGTCTCCCAATCTCTTGGAATAATAACAACCACAATTTCAACAATGATGATAGCCAACATTTATTGCCTGGTGTGTCCCAGGCACTGTTCCAAGCCCTTTTACCTGGATTAATTTATTCATTATTCACCAAAACACTGTGATGGAGCTGTTTTCATTAGCCCTGCTTTATTTTTATTTTTTTGAGACAGAGTCTCGCTGTTTTGCCCAGACTGGAGTTCAGCGGTGCAATCTCAGCTCATTGTAACCTCCCTCTCCCAGGTTCAAGCAATTCTCCTGCCTCAGCCTCCTGAGTAGCTGGGATTGCAGGCACCTGCCACCATGCCTGGCTAATTTTTTTATTTTTAGTAGAGATGGAGTTTCAACATGTTGGCCAGGCTGGTCTCAAACTCCTGACCTCATGTGATCCGCCTGCCTCGGCCTCCCAAAGTGCTGGGATTATAGGCATGAGCCATTGTGCCCAGCAGCCTTGTCTTACAGGTAAAGAAAATAAGGCCCAGAGAGATTGGACAATTTTCCCCATGTCACACAGCTAACAAGAGCTGGAGATGGCATCTGAGCCCAAGCAGCCTGGCACCAGAGAAACCATTAAGTAGCCTGCTTAAATCTGAATTTCCATTCCCTTCTGGGGTCCTCTTACTTTAAAAGCTGATCAGGGAGCTAGCCAGAGTCCTAGGACCACACATGTCGCTTCAGATGCTGGCCACTGCTAAGCTGCTCCTCCAGGTCCCACATCCTGGGAATATGCTTTGCAAAGCACACTGGGGACAAAGAAAGCAGAGAACACAGGCCACCCCCGAGTCCTCCAGGCAGATGGCTCCTCCCACCACTGCATGCAGGGGAGATACCTGTCAGTGAGGGGACAGCCCTGTCAGAAGGACAGGCGAGGACTATGAACCATTTTGCAGGTGAGAAATCAAAGCTAAGGAGGTTGTTCACATCATCCAATTTGCAGGCAGAAGAGCCAGGGCTCCAATCCCAGCCTTCTGATCACTAGCCCATTGCCCATTCTTTACAAAACGGAGCAGTTAGTTACCCAGCATTTATTGAGCACCTGCTATGTACTGGGCATGAGTATGGCATACTGTGTGCCCTGAAACTGCTGGGTCTGTAAAGCGCAAGGATGTATCGACTGATCGTGATGCATGCGATGGGAGACACTTGTGCTGTGACTGGCCCTGTGTTGGGGTGGGAGCAGCATCAGAAGCGTCATGGAGGAAGCAACACTCGAGCCGGGTCTCTAAGGATGGGTGCAGTGGTGCAGAGAGGGTGTCACAGGCAAGGGGTTCGGGACACCCCATGGTGCAGAGTGGCACCCTTGGGAGGAGGGCATGTACCAGGCTGGGCCCCAAGATCGACCAGGACTCTCCACTGGGCAAGAAGCTTAAGGCCCTTGGAGACCACATGAAGGAGAGTGAATGTTATCTTGGAGGCCATGAGGGCTAGGAAAGCTTTGTAAGCAGAAATGGCATGATCTGCTTCTAGAAGAAAACCATTCCACAGTCAGAAGGATGGAGTAGCAGGAGGCAGATCTGGGGAAGCTGTTGGAGCAGCCCTGTTGAGAAATGATGAGGGTCTCAAATGAGGTGGGAGCAGAGGGGTGGGCAGAAGGAAGAGAGCCGAGAAAGCCTCCAGAAACAGAAGCAGCAGGACTCGACGATGAGCTGGAGAATGGGGCAAAGGATTCTAGTGCCATGATCCAACTGGGATGGGAGCAGAAGGAGCACGTTTGAAGGATGAGGGAAACAGTTCATTTGGTTTTAGAAATTGGTGACATGGTGGAAATACGTTCAGGTGTCTGGAAAGAGAGGCAGGACTGTCACTCAGGAGAAAACAGGGGCTAGAAACGGAAATCCTGGTGTCATAGGTACGCAGATGGCAGACGAAGCCACTGGTAGGTATGAAATCCTGCGTGAGGAGAAAGCATTAAGGGAGAAGAAAGGGTGGAGGAGAGAAGGCCAGGGAGGAGACAGAGGAGTGGGCACAGAGGCGGGAGGACAACCAAGAGCGCATGGTGGGACCCAAAAGCCAAGAGAGAAGAGACTAGAAAAAAGGGACAAAGAGGGAGGATTAGGTCATCAGCCAACTCGGCAACCACAATTTTAGAGAAGGAAACTAAAGCCCTTTATTTTTCTCCCTGTAGCCTCTCTCAGGGTCTGATGTTACCTTGTAGTTGTTTACTTGGCTATGATGTATCTGCCTGCTACAGTGTTGGGGCCTGCCCTGTTTTTGCAGGACGGTATTCCCAGCACTTAGAACACGTCTTCCTGATAGACGGCACTCAGTGAAACATGTTGAATGAATGACTAAAGGGGCCCGATTTCAGGGAGCTAAAGGGCTAATAACAAGTAAAAAAAAAAAAAAAAAAATGAAGCTAGACTTTTCTTTAAAAGCTGGCAATAAAAGGAGAAAAAAATGTTTATCCAGGGCCTGGAGTCCCTTCTCATACAAGAAACTCCAGGCCCAGATGGCTTCACGGGTGAATTCTGCCAAACACTTAAGGAAGAATAATACCAATTCTAAACAAACTGTTCCAGGAAACTGAAGAGGAGGGAACACCCGCAACTCATTCTGTGAGGCCAGCATTGCCTTGATTCCAAAACCAGACAAAGACATTACACAAGAAAGGAAAAGACAGACCAATATCCCTTCAAGTGCACAAGTGGAAAAAATTTAGACAAAATTTTAGCAGATCACATCCTCCCATCAAGAGGTACACTCTATTTCTCCACCCACTAAACCCCAGCTGGCCTTGTGGAGTCTAGCTTGGTCACCCAGGCTGCAGTGCAGTGGCACAATCTCTGCTCACTGCAACATCTGCCTCCCGGGTTCAAGTGATTCTCCTGCCTCAGCTTCCTGAGTAGCTGGGATTCAGGTGTGTGCCACATTGAGCTAATTTTTGTACTTTTAGTAGAGACGGGGTTTCCCCATGTTGGTCAGGCCAGTCTCGAACTCCTGACCTTGTGATCTGCCTGCCTCGGCCTCCCAAACTGCTGGGATTACAGCAGTGAGCCACTGCACCCTGCCTTTTTTTTGTTGTTGTCAATAAAAGGTAGCAGAAGTGTGACATTGTGCCAATTCTGAGCCAAAGCTGCAAGAAGCCTCATGCATATCCACTCTCTCTCCCTGCGCAGTAACTGTGAAAAAGCCCAGGCTGGCCTGCTGGAAGATAGGAGACCACTTGGAAGAAAGACAAGGTTTACCAATGAAGGACACCCTAAACTAGCCAGCCCCCAGCTGACCCACTAGCTGACCACAGCCACATGAATGAGCCCAGCTGAGATCAGAAAAACCACCCAGCTGAGCTCAGCCCCAATTCCCCACCTACGAACTCATCAGCAAAATCAGTGTTTTTTATTTTAAGCCATTATATTCTGAGGTGGTTTGTTACTCAGCAAGAGCTAACTGACACAGTGGAGATACTGCTTTATCTGATTCAGAGTTCCTCAAGGACAGAAACCATGACTCACTCACCTTCCTCAGGGCCCAAGGTTGCTCAGCAAATCCTTGTTAGATGTTTGCTAGTTTGTGCGGCTTTCGCAGAGCAGCTAATAACTGCCATCCCGCCAATGACTGCTGCCTGACCCTGTCAATTAACAAGCTCACCGCTGGCTGCTGTCATCCAAGGAGCTCCTATAATTATGCCACCCAGTAAAACCACAATGCAGCCCAGAGAGGGTTAATGATATACCTACGGGCACACAGCATGTCAGCATGAGACTGAGGTTGACATGGATTAAGTTGCTCTGGGTGAGGGAGGTGTCAAATGCAGGGTGTTCCCCACCTTCACGCCCATTAGTTTAGGAATGTTCTTTCCTTCAGAGAGTACCTTGTCTCGATGACTTTCAAGTAATCCCCAGGCCATCAGTCACTCTTAGTTTAATAGCTTTTCCTCTTTCTTGCTTTCTTTTTTTTTTTTTTTTGAGATGGAGTCTCACTCTGTCACCCAGGCTGGAGTACAGTGGCACAATCTCAGCTCACTGCAACCTCCGTGTCCTACATTCAAGCAATTCTCCTGCCTCAGTCTCCCAAGAGCTGGAATTATAGGCATGCACTACCACATCTAGCTAACTTTTGAATTTTCAGTAGAGATGGGGTATCACCATATTGGCCAGGCTGTTCTCAAACTCCTGACCTCAAATGATCCAGCCATCTTGGTCTCCCAAAGGGCTGGGATTACAGGCATGAGCCATGCACCCAGCCACTTCTTCCTCTTTCGTTAAGTAACAAGACGTATCATTTTTGTGGATGGATCTTTGCTGGCAAGTCAAAGGCTGTGCATCAGTGTCTACAACTCAGCCAGGCCGAAGGAGTCTCAGGACTAGGAAACCAGGGCCCCACCTGATTAATCTGAGAGTTAACATAGGAAGGGGCCACTGGGTAGCAGGAAGTAATTTGAGCAAAATGAGGTAAGAGCACAGACTTGAGCCAGACTGACTGGACTGTAGACTAGCAACTTAACCACACAG